CCAGCAGGCCACCAAGGGGAGGCGCGGTCCACGTACTGGAAGCCTTCCTGGCAGGCGCCCCAAGAAGCCTCCAAGCCCCAAAAGGCACCCCCAAAAGGGATACATGAGGCTTCTTGCGCACGACCCACGCACCGTGGCGGGATGTGCCGAAGTCCACTAGATCCGCCGCCCCCGTCGCCTGCAAACACGAGGTGGCGCGCCAAAACTTTCAACCCTCCCAAAAAAAAATCAGCCGACCCTGTCGGCGTGCGTGGGACGCGTGCGTCCGCGCGGCCGCCGCCATCCCGCCTGCAGCAATCCACTCCAGCCACAACGCCACATAACATCGTTGACGTGAAGGTGAAAGCGAAACAATCCATTCCAGCCGACACGCCACATAATATCGCTCACATGGAAATAGGCCCTTGGCCCCTCCCTGGCCCCGGCCCTGGCCCCGGCCCCGGCCGGCCCTGGCCCTGGCCCGGCCCCGGCCCTGGCCCCGGCCCCAGTCCCAGCCTCGGCCCTTTCTCGGCCCCGGCCCTGGCCGTGGCCCTGGCCCCCGGCCGGCTCCGGCCCCAGCCCTGGACCAGGTCCCAGCCTTAGCGCCCTCCAAATCTAACTATACCTCCGTGGCCTCCCATACATCGGCGCTCCGAAAGTTTATTCCGATTTGAGAGGCACGGCGCCGCGGGAATGCAGCGCAAACGCAATGCTGGAAGGGCGCGACAATCCATGCCCCCTGGACACGCGAGAGCAGCCGCGCCCCCGCGCGAACCCCGATCCCGCGCGGGGCGCGCTCCCGTTGACAATGGCTCACCCGGGACACAGTTTCTCGCGCAGGAAATCCTCAGCGGTCTGCTCATCGGCGGCTCCTTAGAACGAGGCCGGAACCACCGAGAAATTGTTGTTGATCGGAAGTTTTAGGCGGTTTGCCCATGCTCGAAGACCTCGAGAACGATGTTTTTGCAAGGAGTCCTAGGCGGTTTGCACATTTTCGGGTTGTTCGAGCCGGACCCAATTTTTTTGGGGCACAGGTCCTATGGGATTTGGCCACTTTCAGGTCGGCCGATAAACTTTTCGGGTCGGCGCATGACCGAACCTGAAAGCTTCTTTGAAAAAAAAAAAATAAAAAATGAAAAAAGAAAAAAAAAAAAAAGAAAAAAAAAAAAAGCTTCTTTTGAGGAATTCCTATGCCGCTTGCTCATTTTCGGGTCAGTACACCGTTCGGGATTTAAAATCTTAAGTTGGGAAAGGGAACCCGCTCCCGCGACCCTGGGCGGGGGTTAGGGTCTGCCCTTGCATTGTACTGGGCCCCTCCGGCCAAACGGGGCGCCGGGCTGCCCATCGGCGCGCCGACTCTGCCCTCGCGACATCGCCACCATCCGCCCTCGGGCCCCGCAAATCTTGTCCCGCGCGCGCCACCCCAGATGGCCGCGGCGGGCACAGTGGCGAAATTGGGGAAACTTTCGGATCGGCGCAGTATGCCCAGGATGCCGATACTAGCTTCGAAACAACGAACGAAGCCTGGAAGTCGCCCCATGACGCCCCGAATGGTCCTGATAGGCAACCGGCGTCGTCGTCAACATCGTCAACATCCTCGCCATTATCTCCCCCCTTCTCCTCCTCATGATCGCCGCGCTCCACTCGCCCCTGCCCTTCCTTCGTGCCCCCCCCCCGTCACCCTGCTCGCCTCGCTCTCCTCCTATTCATTCCCCCCGGTGCTCCTACTCCTCCTGGTCCGCCTCTTCCTCATGTCCCCCTCATCATCTTCCTCCCCGTGCTCCGCGCCCTCCTCCCCGACATCAGGGTCGGCGGCGCCGCCCGTGAGACCTTCGCAATCCCAATCGCCTGCGGCGGAAACCGCTGGCCCCGCCCAACACCAACGTCCCGTGATTTTCCACGCGATACTGCATGGCTCCGATTTGACTCCAAGACGGTCCCCAAGACGCATCGAAACGCCGCCGGGGCAGTCGACAAGTACACCGCTGCCCTCCAGGAGCTCAAGATGACCTTGCTGTACGAGTGCCCGTTCGACGGATGTGCCTACGGCCTCATGGGCGACAGTGCCGGCAAGACCATCAAGAAACCCTGGAAGGTGATCACCAACCATCAGCCGCTGCAGAGGTTCTTGAACCGAAGGTGCCCCCAGGACCATGAGCACCCCCAAGGGCGAGAGTTCAAACGGAGGACGTCCGAGAAGCCAGAGCTCTACACCAAGGAGCTGCGCGGGGCCGCGATCAAGGGCTTCGCGAGGGGCATCGCCGACGTCAACAACGGGCTGGCCACGCTGCTCAACGACGACGAGAATGAGGGCGCGGAGAAGGGGCCTCAGGGTATACTGGCCAGCCTGGAGCCTGAGCGGCGCCTGACTCGTACGAGGGCCGTGGCAAAAATGCACACCAACCTGGGACATCCAGGCAATCGGGCCCTCGCGCGTGCCATTCGACCTGCAGGCGGCTCGAAGTATGCGATAGCAGCAGCGCTCGTACACCATTGCCCCACATGCATTAAGCTAGCGGCCCCACCGTCGACAGCGGCATCATCATTACGAGATCGTTGGAGGGAGTTCGGCGACTGCCTGGCCATCGATACCTTCGAACTGGCCGACGCCCAGGGCACCGACATGGTGTCCCTCAACCAGATCGACATGGCCTCCAAGTACCAGATCGTTGTCCCGGTCACCTTCCGCAAGCCGACCGTGATCTGGCAGGCCAAGCTCGACTCATGGCTGCTCGCGCTCGGCGTTCCGATCGTCGCGATGGCGGACATGGGAGGCGAGTTCGAGCGTGAAGTCGAGGAGGAGCTGGAGGCCAGTGGGCTCGAGGATAGTCTCGAGCGCACCCGACAGCCCGACGCAGAACGCCATCTGCGAGGGCATGGCCAGACCTGGAAGGCGCACGCTCGCGCCTTGATCTTAAGGAGTTTTTCCTCACCTTCAAGAAGGCAGACCAGGTCAAGTGGCTCACGGCGGCGATCAACTATGCAGTGAACCCTGCAGTGGGCCCGTCGGGGTACTCACCGTCCCAGTGGGTCCTGGGCCGGGGTATCAAGCTTCCGTGCCAGCCGCCGATCTAGCACGTCGAAGCCGCTGGTGCCGCGGCTGCAGCTCTGCCCTTGGCGAGGAATGCCTCGCTGCTATTGCGGTTGGCCTCCGGCGCGGCCACCGAGCACTTCGCCGCGCTGAATAGTCCGACGCGCTGCCTGAAGCTCGGCTCGCGCTGCCTGAAGCTCGGCTCGTCGTCGTCTGGCATCCGCTGGTGACTGGGTGTACTACTGGAGAGGACTGGGCGAGGCCCGTGCCAAGAAGCACTGGGCAGCGCGCTGGCACGGACCGGCGGTGGTCATCGGGCATGCGTCGGACAACCTGTGGCTGGCACATCGCAACCTCGCCATCAAGGCATCGGCGCGGCATGTCGGAGCCGCGGAGGCGTCGGAGCTGGTCGACTGGAAGGATGTCTTCGAGCGTGCGGAAGGTGCGAGTGGGCCTGCCACCTCATGGCCATCCTGGCGGTCACCGCCCGGGCCAGGCGGCCAGGCCCCGATGGAGGTCGACGACGAGACGCCGCAGGTCGCCGACCCACCTCCTGCCGACGTCGGCCACGACCATACCATGACCATCGATGAGCACGCTCGCGTGCCCATGGACGTGGAGCAGCATTCCGCTGCTGGAGGACCTCAGGATGTCGAGGATGTTACCTGCGTTCCGCTTGCCAGCAGCAGACGCCGTCTGAAGATTAACTGGGAAGAGAAGCTGGCAGGAGGAGATCCTGCACCATTCCCGCAGCTCATGTTGGATGGACCCTGTGCTCCCGAGAACCCCCAGAACAAATACCTGCGCTTCCCGAGCGACCTACTGAGCCGCCGGGACATCTCGAGGAGGAGACGCCTCCTCTACCGCCCGAGGAATCCCTAGACGCCCCGCGTGATCCTCATGCCCCAAATCCTCCTCTCCCTTATCATCGCGAAGATGAGGAGACGCCGCAGGCGCAGAATATGGAGGACCCTGTGGTTCGAGAAGATCGCAGCGAGCATGAAGAAGTGCCGTATCATGAGTCTGAGTATCACGACCCCGAGGAGTTGGAGAAGGACGCCGATAACGCCAACGAGTTTTACGACGCTGAGGAGGACCTACCATGGCACGAAAGGGGCCCAGGATCAAGGAGGAGTGGCATCGAGTTCGGGACCCACATCATATGCTACGCCATTCAAGCCAGTGCGCACGGCCCCGAGACAGACATACGACCACCTCGACGACGTTCCGATCTCCATCAAGAGGGCCCTGGAGCAACGCCGAAGGCAGAGCGAGGTGAAGTGCGAGTTCAGGCCTTCGAGAGGTCAGCCGGGACAGCCAGAAGAGAAACAAGCACGGCATGCGCTGGTCCTTCAGGTCGAGGGAGATCGAGGATGTTATTTGACCAAGGCTGCGAGGTCCAAGGAGAACGATTTGGACGCCGACTCAGGCGCAGATATCAGGGAGCTCATGACATCCATGGACGACGAGTGAGAGAAGTGGATGGCGTTCGGAGCTCCGCGAAGATGTCCAGACCACGCGCTCAAGCAGCATCCCGCCAGCGGCGCCAAGGTCGTGGGCACGCGCTGGGTGGTCACGCTGAAGCAGACCAAGGAGGTCCAAGTACAAGTCTCGACTGGCAGGTCAGGGTTGCCAGGAGCGTTCCACCTACATCAGGAGCGACGCCCCTGCCGGTTCAGTGGATGCTCTGATGGTCACCCTCGGGTTCATGGCGCAGAAGGGTTGGGCAGGATGCTCCTACGACGCGAAGTCGGCCTACCTCCAGGCAGAGGGCATCGACAGGTCGCTACTCATCAGAATGCCCAAGAGGCACCCCACGGACCCGGGCAAGGTGTTCTACGCGCAGGGCTCGATCTACGATACCAAGGACGCGGGGCGCGCTTGGTATAAGCATATGAAGGCCTACCTCGAAAGGAAGCGTCTCTCTCTCTCTCTATATATATATATATATTTATAGACACCAGTCCAAGCTGGAGCGCGGGGTCTACAGGTATTACTACGACGGGGAGCTTCAGATGGTAATGCTCAGCCACGTTGACGACTTGCTGGTTGCCAGGAAGGCCGCAAGCCCCACGGTCGACAAGACACTGGGAGAGATGGCTGAGTTTCTACATCTGGAGAGACGCGACGGGGAGTTTGAGTACTGCGGGATCTACGCTACGCAGGCTAAGGCGGTCAAGGCCGTGGAACATATCCCTATCGCCCCGGACAGGAATAAGGTTCCAGACGGACAAGCAACCATGGAGGATCTGAGCATGTTTCGCAGCACGAACGGGCAACTACAGTGGCTGGCACATCGCTCGAGGCTCGCTTGAGCAGAACAGGCTTGCGCACAGGACGTCAGAGCTGAAGGTCCAGGACCTCATCGATGCCAACAAGCTCGTGGATTACGTCGAGCAGAACATCGAGTACGGCCTGCACTTCCGCAGGGGCGTCGTGGACATCAGCACAGCGTGCGTCTTGGCCTACGGTGATTCCTCGTTCGCAAACGTGCCGGGTGAGAAGAGCCAGGCTGGAGCAGTTCTGTGCCTTACCAACACTCCTCGAGAAGTTGTGGACGGACGATGTGACAAGCAGGTGCCCTTCGTGTGGGCAAGTTTCCGAGTCAAGCGAGTTGTGAGATCCACGTTAGATGCGGAGGCATACAGCATCAGCGAGGCTATGGAGCATGGCCAGTTTCTACGACAGTTTCTTCAGGAGTTATATATGCCAGCCAACACGAAGCTCGATTCTGGCCGTGACGGGCAGCGGCAATCTGAAGGTCACTGTGAATACGGGTAGTGGTTCAGTTGCGGGCAAAAGACTACGCATTGTTGTTTCCATGCTTCGTGAGAGTATTGAGGCACAAGGGAATACTACACGAATTTGTAAGAGAACTGAAGCAATGGTAACTGACGGCCTGACTAAGAGTTTGGCGTGCATTGCGATTTTGATTGCCTTCTTTGCTTCCAAGAAGTTCGAGATTCCACCTCCGCAGAGGAAGCGACAGGCCGTGAAGCCAACAACAGTCCTGATTTCATCGACAAGAAGATCGGCCACGAGGGGATCGAGTGCCACACTGAGGAGATCAACCGCGAGTGGATCGGGTACCGCGTGTGGCAGATCAACCGCGAGAGGATCGAGTACCACGTGTGGCAGATCAACCGCGAGTGGATCGGGTACCACACCAGGAGAAACATCAATATTGACGGACCCAGCGGTGAGCAGGACGAGTCCAAGCCTCGGACTTCGCATTGCCACGTTGATATCATCCATGGCCGCGGGAAGGGCAACATCTACTGCGCCACCTCCCGAGGAAGATGACAATGCAGTGATCTACATTATGCTGGCCATCCTGTTCGTGATGACTATGGCCGTGATATACCTCATGTGGCAGATGCGGGAGATCAGAGCATCGATCCGACAGCCTCAGGAGATCGAGAGAATGCCGCGGCTGATTCACGAAGACGATGATCGCACTCGAGGCTCGACTCCGACGACGGCGACAGGCACCGCTACGAGAACGAGGACGCCCCAGAAGGTTGAAAGTGAGGAGCCCGAGCCCATGGGGATCGAGAGCGACAGTGTCATATTCGGAGAGAAACCAGTCCAGATCACGAGGCAGAGGACGGCCAAGACGGTAAAAACGATTGACGATGAAGCTGTACGTGACCCAAGGAATCGCCAGGCCAGAAAGGTGGAGATCAAGACGGTACCGCAAGACTGTGATTTCGTGGGAATCAAGACGAAGCTGCTGAAGGCCGGTCTCGAGGACATTTCCGTGGTGATCAAGGTGTCGGAGCGCGTGATGAGGCACTACAGTCCCGAGGGCAGGCAGATCACTAAGGACGAGGCGAACAAGATGGCCAGTGGCATTGGCTACTACGTGGACCCCGAGTCCATTGACGGACGGTTGAGGATGCGAGGAGCGTTCTGCAGCGTGGAGAAGGCTAAGACCACGCTGGAAGCCTCAGTGAGTTGAGCTTCTTTTCATATTTGAGTACGCTCCTGGCGAGCGGTGCGATTTCGTGAGGCTATTCCATATTTCCATGTTGCAGCGAGCGACTCAGTCGATGATCGCTGGTTTTTACCCCTTCGAGCTCCAGATGGCATCTGGGAGGACGGAGAGCTGACGGAGCGCGTGCGTTCCTACCATCTCCCATCCTCCGCCCGACGCGTACGTCCTCTCCTGAGTTCCTGAGACTTCCTGAGATGCTGGCCGAGGTGCCTACATATATTTTGCCAACCCACCAGGGGCTGCCTCTTTTTTACCCTGGCCCGCCAGGGGCCATGTGACGAGGCCCGGCCGGGGCCTGTGTACTTGAATCAGGGGGGCGTAAGACCCGGGTACAGGGGACTCGGAAATCCCCGACGAGGTCGTCAACAAAAATGACGAGGCCGAGCCTGCATTTTGACGAGGCCTCCCGCTGCAGACGTCCCACGAAACTCCTCCTCGTCAAAATCCGAGGCGCGGTCGTCAAAAAGCGATGGCGAACCCGAGTCCTGGCAAACCCGGGTCTTACGCTCCCCCGATGGTTCGTTGGTGGCAAGACAGGCGATGACGCACGTGTGCATGCGGCGGAGCCATGCCGAGCGCGAGCGGCTGCGTCTCTTGCCTGCAGGCCTCTAAAACAGGAGCCCCCAGAGTGACCCTCGAACTTCTGGGAGGGTCTAAAACTTCTCGTCTGGGAGGGTTGAGACCCCCTCCCTTTTACTACGAAATCTGGAGTACTTGAGGACCTCTAGAGAGCCTTCTGGAGGTCCACTGCCCGCCGCCGCCGGTTCGGCTCTGCGGGCCCCGCAGGGCCCTGGACCCATTGGCGGTCTTCCGCCCAGCGGGCGGCTGAGGAGAGCTCGAAGGATTGCAAAAAAACCCAAGGATTGCAAAAAAACCCTTCGTCGAAGGATTGCAAAAAAACCCTTCGTCGAAGGGTTTTTTGCAATCCTTCGTTCAAGGTTTTTTTGCAATCCATGGTTTTTTGCGTTTTTTTTGCAGTGCTGCGCGCTGGAGAGCGGAGGGCATCCTGATCGCTTTGCGACTCCGCTCCCCCCCTCCCCCCCCCCTCCCCCTTCCCCCCCTCCTCCTCATCCGATTCCCCCCCTCTTCCCAAAAAATTCTTCCTCCACTGCATGCCCATCCGAAACACATCTAAAAGAGGCGAACTGCGCCATCATCGAGCCCCTTCGGAAGCCATGATGCCACTGGCAGGGAAGACGGCTCGAGGATGGTCAGACCAGAGAAGACGCACGCGGGCGCGCCGTGAAACCATGGCGGGCGCGTGCAGCAACGTCGCCCGTCTCCATCCAGCCGCTAAGGAAAAACGGAGCGACCCCACATAGGCACATCCGAGAGCGCAGGGCAGTTCCGAGGGGGACTCTCCTCCTCCTCCTCCTCCGCCTCCTCCTCCTCCTCCTCCTCCCTCCTCCTCCTCCTCCTTCCCTCCTCCTCCTCCTCCTCCTCCTCCTCCTCCTCCTCCTCCCTCCTCGACCTGCTCGACCTCCTCGACCTCCTCGACCTCCTCCCCCTCCTCCTCCTCCTCCTCCTCCTCCTCCTCCTCGTCGCCCGTCTCCATCCCGCCGCTACGAGAAGACGGAGCGACCCCACACAGGCAAGGGGGGACGTCTGGGTGCGTGGCCTCCGGGGGACGGTGGGGGCGCCACATCCGAGAGCGCAGGCCAGCTCCGAGGGGGCCTCTCCTCCTCGTCCTCGTGCTCCTCCTCCTCCCCCTCCTCCTGCTCCTCCTCTCCTCCTGCTCCTCCTCCTCGTCCTCCTCTCCTCCTCCTCCTCCTCGTCCTCCTCCTCCTCCTCCTCCTCCTCCCCCCTCCTCCTTCCTCCCTCCTCCTCCTCCTCCTCCTCCCCTCCTCTCTCTCCTCCTCCTCCTCTTCCTCCTCTCCTCCTCTCCTCCTCCTCCCTCCTCCTCCTCCTCCTCCTCCTCCTGCCCCTCCTCCACTCTTTGTGGGCCCGCACCACCTCCAGCGGAGGGTCGCTCTTACGCGCAGCCGATGCTCACACGTCGCTGCGTGCACCGGGCCTCTCTCCCGAGGCTGCAGGAGCGGCCTGACGCACCCGCGGGGCTCTCCCGAGCTTTCCTAGGACTGCAAGATGGCCCAGGAAGGTCATCAAGGCCGCCAAGACGGCTCAACATTGCCTCAATAAGCAGGCGACAGCCCCTGAGACGCGTTCAATCGGAGGGGCCTCCGAGAGGCTCCCAAACAACTCCGATATGCTCTCCAAGATGGTCTCGAGTGACCACGCACATCGTGTTTCCATGCGTTTCTTTATTGGTTTTCGCTTTCCACGCTCTTCAATCGGATATCGGTCAACTCGCGGTATCCAAAAACCAACAAGGGCCCAGTGAGAGCCAGTAGTCGGCTCGGGACGACCCCGCTAGAGCCCGATCCTGAACTGACCCAAGGCGGTTTCTGGACAAATCCAGGACTGCCTTAGGGGGACCCTGAACGACTCCAAGACGCCCCCACGATTCATGGACGGCCCCAAGAGAGCTCAATAGAGTCCCAAGACGGCCCAACAGAGTCGCAAGGCGGTCCAAGAAGGTCCCAAGGTGGCCCAAGAGGGCCTCAAGGAACCCCAAGATTGCCCCAGAGGAGCCCAAGACAGCCCAAGCACTACCCAACTCGTCCCCATGAGAGCTCCTCAAGACATGGCTTTATAAGAGGTGTCGTGTGTGACGGCCTCCTGAGTGATACGCGAAGCGCTTCGTCGCTGGCACGGTGGAGGAGGTGCCGCAAGCACCTGGTCAAGACACTGAAGGGGCCCCAGGACACACAAATAAATACACACAAATAAAAATATTCCCCGTACTGTTCCATCTTTTCTGGGTTTTTGTCTTCCACCCCCCTTGCCATATTCTCCCATATTCTCCTGGGGGATCGAGGATTAATTGTGTCTGTGTGTTTCTTTCCCTCCCGACAAGACATGGCAGAAGCCTGGCTCTGACGGTGCAGGAGCAGCTGCTCGAGAGGCCCGATGCCTCCGGGCGCCGGCGGGCGGCGGTGGCGAGACTGGCGAACGGTGCCGTGACTAAAACGGTGTGCGGATCCACGCCTCACGGGCAATGATCGGGGATGGACAGACCCCCCTTTAGTAAAACGTGGTTTAGTGAAAACGACCTGAGGCCCAAACCTGGCGGGCGCAAGCCTGGAAAATAACGGCCACGGCGCCAACTCGAGAACCGAAAACGGACAATTCACTAATCGACGTGTCACTGTTGGGGGTTGTGTCCACCCCCGAAATGAGGATGTTGTCGGGTCGGGCGAAAGGGGGGGATAGCAAAGGGGGGGTTTGAGAATCAGCTCGCGTAGCCGATTTTCCCGGCGCCTCCCGGCGCCAGAGGCGACTATGCACCGAGGAATGGGCCCCGCGGTGAGGCAGACACCAGCTGCGTGCAGCAAATTTCGTAACCCCCCCTTTCCCAATCCCCCCCTTTCGTCCGGCCCGATGTTGGTTGGTTGGTGGCAAGACAGGCGATGACGCACGCGTGCACGCGGCGGAGCCATGCCGAGCGCGAGCGGCTGCGTCTCTTGCCTGCAGCCTCTAAAACAGGAGCCCCCAGAGTGACCCTCGAAAAGGGTACGAATTACTGGGGCGGCGCATTGCAAAAGGCATCGAGCGCATTTTGACTACCTCCAGCGTGTTGTTGGCTCGGAGGGCTCTGCGTGCTCACCGCCCGACAGAGTCTGTTGAGAGCTGCTCCTCTTCCTCTTCCTCTTCCTCCTCCTCCCGCTCCTCCTCCTTCTGCACCCCTCCCTCCCCTGCAGCCGTCCCCCCACCACATAAATCAGGAAACATCAGTGCGACAACTTCTTCCGCAATCACTTAACGTTGACTGCTAGCTGCGCTGGCCCGCGCAACTCCCACAAGCGGGTACACTCCGACGCGTCCCGGATCAGCCAAGAAGGGCGCTGCCGGGGAAAGCTGCGTCGAGAGGAAGGGTGCGCCGCTGGATGCCCCCAAGAGCGGGGGGGGGTCTAGGACTCCCGAGCGCGCTCCTTCCCCTCTCCTGGCCTCCCTCCCTCCCTCCCCCCTGGAGCCCCACCCCCTTCCCAGACCACCGACGACATGATTTTTTCATGACGCGGCCCCCAAAGGTCCGGACCCCTTCCACAGAACTGGATTTTCATCCCGAGTCGTTTTTTGACGGTCCCGAGGCCCGGTAAAGGCCCCCGGGGGCCGAAAATGGCGAAAAAACACCCGTCGTGATTTTTTCACGACCCGAGGGGGTCTGGGTTCAGTGGGAGGGGAGGGACCCTTTCCCTGCCTCAACCACAGGGGGATCCGCAAAGCGCTCGTTCGTCGCGCGACGGGCTGCCCGAGCCGGAGGCCATGCTCTGCGTTGTTTTTCCGCCCCGCCGCGAAGTCGGCACAAGGGTTAAAAGTCGGGCGTGTCCCCCTACAGGCCGATCTTGGACGAAAAAATGAAAAATATAAAAAATGCACCCAAAATGTTCAAACATGGGGAAAAAAATCCCCTGACTACTTTTTGACTATCTTTGAAGATTCCCCCTGTAGAGGGACAGGCCCGACAGAACACAAGGGCGTGCAGCAAGGAAAACCTCACGGGCCCAGCCCCTCCCCCCCTTCCGGCCCCGTGCCACCCCCTGCCGGGGCATGCCCGTCCTGCTTCGGAGTGGGCCGACGCAGACCTGTGCCATCTGCGTTTCAGGCCACGGGGGGCTGGCGACAGCCAAAGTGTAGGCTTGACTGTATTCCTCACCCAGCGTGCAGAGGGGGGGTCGCCTGCAATCGTGCTATCATCTGCAGCGCTGGCGGCCCAGCGAAAAACAGCGGGATGGATCAGGCTCCACCGTTCCCATCACTCGCCGCTGAAACGTCTTGCGTTGCACATCGCGTTTGCTCCGCGGTCGCTCACAACGGGTGAACATAGAGCGGTCATTCGCCGACCCCCGCTTGCCGGGAGTGAACAGGCGTGTGAGACAGCTGGTTGTCCCCCTCCCACTAGG